GGACAAAAAAAAAAAAAAAAACCAACCCAGCATGGAGAGCAAAGCCAGCTATGGGGACAAAGACCAAGAGGAATCAGAAGAACCTTAGGGAAGGGTCAGATGCCTGGGTCCAAGGAGTGAATGTGCATCTCAGTGGATTTTAAGAGGGAACCACTTGAAAAATTGATCAAGGAAATTGAAAGAGAGAAAAAGGGACATCCTAAGGGCTGGGAGGATGTTATCTGTGCCAGGAAGTGAGGATGATTGGAAGTGGACCACAGATGTGTCATGTTTGGTTTGACATTGGTGCCAACTCAGTGAGAATCGAGCCCAAGCCAGTGTGGCAGGTCCAGCAAGGTGGAGGACATCCACATTCTCTTCAGGAGGGGTACAGAGCCGAGAGGGCAGGACGTGCAGAAGCCAACGCAGATGCACACGCAGAATGTGCCACCACAAACACACATGAGGCCTCAGAACCATAGGGTGCACTCACAGGCAGGCTCTTGGGAGCCAGGGAGCAGACACAGGAAACAGGACCATCGACAGTGCCGGACCAAGCTATGGATAGGAGATTCTGGGGACCATCTGGGGACTTCAAACAGAAGCTGTTCCAGAGCCACAGCAGAAGGAAGCTAGAACAAGGGGTGAAGACAGCAGCGATGAGGGAGGTCGGAGAGGTGACCTGCACTGAGGAGGATGGCGTGGGCAGCAGCGCCAAGACAAAGTCCACTTGGCCACCAGTACAGACGCCGGTCCCTCAGCTATCATTAAAATCTAGAACTGTCCTTAAAGGACATCAAGATAGAAGAGCAGACAACTGATGAGGAGACAGGAGGTGATGGGCTGGGGTCTGCGTGAAGGTGGAGAGACAGAGGGACCACATTCAGGGAAAGATTGACTGCCATCAGCGTACCAGCTTCCAGAGAGAGCCCCCTTGCACATCGCCAAGCTGCTGTTTTTGAACAGGTTACAAGATGTGTGTGTGTGTCAAATGTTGCACAAGTAGAAGACATGAGACTCTTCACATGGCAATTTATATCAAATGAGAAGAAAGCCAAGCTACAAAAGGAACCAAACATTCCCCAAGGCACCGGTGGGTTCCAAGCTTGCAGGGTTGCAGGTAACATGTAGGATCTGAGATCGCCTCCAAGGTTTGTTCTATGGCTTATCTCCAAGGGATACAGTGAGTGGACAGGAAAGAACCACTGGAGAGGCTTCAGAAGTTAGGTCCGCTCAGGCTGGCCTGCCCACTGCAGGTCAAGTCCTGGTGTCTCGGCCCGAGACCAGTCACTCTCTCCCCCTGCAGCTACCACTTGCACCCACAGAGACTAAGGTGAGCAAAGAACTAGGGGGGTGCACACCCGAAACCCGGGGAGCTGAGTGCCCCACAGGAACAAAATGCATGACTTCAGTCTAATAC